CTCAATAAAACTGTAAAATTTCTCTAGAATGAACAAGGCAGAGGTGTACGTATCGGAAGAAAAATTAAAATTATAGCCGAAAGCTCTCCTAACTATACAAGGCCACATATGTACTACGAGAAAAATGACGATAAACTGAGGAAATTAAACAATGTTAACATTCGAAGGAAGTGATTTATAAGTAACACATATTTTGAAAAGCATCATGTGAAAGTCAAGCGACGAAGCCAATACGACGACGTTTGCTTTTTAAACCGTGGAACTGGTGGAACGCAGTTTGTTTCACTCTAGATATATAAACGAAGCTATAGTACCATAAAGACATCGCCTTGATTTTTAAGCTTTTATTACCATTTAGTCTCTAAAAAAAGTTATAATTTGATTTTAGTCACCTTAGTGACTTTAAGCCCGCTGTGATGTCTGTAAACTCGCGCCTTCACAACTCGAGCCCTCGCAACTCGCGCGACTTCGCTGCTCAAATACTCTCGCTTCCAGATTTTCGAGCAAAAGAGAAACTGCTCGCCGTCTATTAATTCGTAAGCCCTTCATGAAACCAGGATCTAAGTCTCATGAAACACATGTTCAAGTTATATTAACGAAAGAAACAAATGTGGGGGTTTGTCAGCTATCTCGAGAACCAGCCCAGACCCGGTAAAAGAAGACATTATTGCTTTTCGTCAGCTAAGAAAAAAAAATGAGTGGAAAAAGAACGTAACAAGTACCAAGGCAAGGGTTGTTTTTGTTATTGCACGATGGTATTTTCAGTCATTTCAAAGTTGTAGTTTTCTATTCCCAAAACATACCAGATGCATGGGAAACTAACACTGAATTATTACTGTGTATTGAAGCGATTTTTCCAGGGAAGAAATTGCAGAAATCTGACATACCTCTCAGTGAATCTATCTAAACTGTAAAAGTTCCCTTGATCCTTAAATGCCCAGGCTGCAATTAGTGCAGAATTAGTTTCAGAGTTTCAGTAACTTTTACAATTTGTGGTAATCAAAAATAATCTAACGGGCAATTGTTGCGTGATATTGTGACTCCGCGGTGAATAATTATTTTGACTATTAAGTGGTTTATCATGATTTTCAAAGATATGCCAACGTTGCCTTTTTTTTTACATCGTTATTTCAAGATGAATATGGAACAATAGAGTATCTAAGGGCCTGTTTACACGGAGATGGGGGACCCCAAATAGACGAAGTAACATGTCAACAGGCCCTAAAGAAGTTCGTTTGAATGAAACCCGTTGCATTAAAAAAAATGAGAACTAGGCTAAGCATATATTGGCATAAATCAACTGTACATATTGAGTATCACTCAATTGATTAAGTTCCGAGGAAAGCAATCACCGCTCTGTTTCGTCAAGGTTTTATAGCTCTCAGTGGAATTTTACCGGCTGTTATCACGTACTGAATGGCTGCCTGTCACTCAATGCAACTTTTTTTCTCAAAAACCAAGATTGCGTTTCTACGCACTTTTCATGCTTCACCGCTCGGATCGTGCCTCATGCAGTAGTTTTTACTTGGCATCCGAAGCATCCAGCCACATGCCAGAAACATAGGCACGTTAATTCACGTGCATGAGCTATTTTGAATGCTTCAGTGTAACTGTACTAAGAATAATAATGATTGAATATACCTTTTTCTTCCTAAAATACGAGCTTATACGACTGGTTTTTTGTGCGAAATTGGGTATTTGCTGTACATGAATGAAAACGCGAAACGCTCAGCTGAGTCGATCCTCATGCTATATATTCACTTTCCTCTGTCTTTCCCTGATACATCTGGTGCAAGTTAAAAAATTGTTAAAGCGCAATAAATATAGCTAAATATCAACTCACCAAACGTTGATTAGAAGGAAAGCTCGAAGGCTTCTTCGGGAGTTTCACAAGAAAATGTGGCTCATCGAATACCGAATACTTTAATAGTTACGAAATATCAGGATTTTTATCATTGTGGTACAGTCCTCGGCATAACGAGCGATCTTCTTTACTCCAGTAATAGTAAAACATATGGAAAAAACGAACCGTCCCTAGGGCGCTTTTTGTAACGAAAAGCGCCCTGGGGACCTCGTTGTAGAACCAACAGATTCTGCCAGTCTTTAAAAATGGGTGGGGCCACCACCCATTTTTTCGTTGTTATCGAGGTTCCATCGAGGTTCCACTGTAGATGGTTGCGTCATCATAATTCACCAGGTTTTCAGTTGCGATTCTACTCGATGAAACAGTCTTTAACTCCCACGACTGACGAACATCGAGGCGGCTATTGGAGGAAACAGCGCCCGTGAACGATTGTGAAAGAACAGTTCCCAGTACCAAGAAATAAGGCTGCAAGTAAAATAGGTAATGGCGTCATTTCGTTGCTATGACAACTCCGATGTCGTTGTAACCTTGATCATAACAAATTTTCATCTTTATCTAATACAGCTGTGGTGGAAATTTCAAAGTCTTTGTTAATGGCGACGTAGTTTATGTTCAAACTTGGGGTGTATTGATCCCAGAAAAATCCCATCGAGCCACCTTAATTTGAAACTGTATACCACTTTCCATCAAATACTTGATAAAAATCCGTTTAAAACTAAATTAAAGAAAATCCTTTTTTCCAGATCTTAGAGAACGAAGATAGTTCATTGATGCATAAAATAGGAAACTACATTTTTCAAAGCTATAGTACGGATCAATCACTAATGTCAATTACTCTTTTTGTCACGCTTTTATCAATAACGTCAATGATTAATTAACAAAATTATTGATACCGCCAACTAAAATACAGTAGGTTTGTTTTCTTTTACTATGCTTTTTTTCTGTAATACTTTTTTTCTCTTCTCTTGCGCCCGTCTCGGCTAGATTAACCTAATTATGGACATCAAGCATTGTCTTGTATAATCTCGTACCCAGATCTCACTCTGTTTTACACTGAAAAGAACCGTGGGAAATCTGGCTACGAGATTATGTCTTGTATAATCCCAGACTGGGTTACTCAACGAAGGGGTCCAAACCTATAGGGCCAGTTATTTTTTAAACGGAGTTTAGCCCGTGTTTAACAAAATCGGGTTCTAAGCCATTTTCCGTTTGCCCAACGTTTTTATATAAACACCATTTTTCCGTGAACAATTTGAGTAAAGCATATAGCGTAGACTGGAAAAGCATTATTTTCGTAAATTAACCCCTTAAGAAAGAGATCTGGAGGTCCAGTAATTTCCTAGACGGCGGCCTAAGTTAATCTTCATTCAAATAACGGACCCTTTACACTTTTAGTTTGACAGAAAAAGTACCCTTTTCGTGTACCTCCTACTGACAAAAAAGGGTGCCTCTTTCTCATTCCTACGATCGGCGACAAAATTAGTTAAATGAAGACATTTTGGCCTAAAGGGCTTCTCTGACGTTTGGCCAATTTTAAAAGGGGAAAATATAAGCTTTCCCTTCCCCCAAAAATGTGAAACTCACCTCGACGTAGCCCCTTAAACAAAAAGTAATTGGGGTTTACGCTTTCGGTTCTCGCGGCTTCACCTCGCTCGAACGCGTGCCTTCTAGCTGTAAATTGAAGAAATCTGAAGAATCTGCTCGCAGTCCAAAAGTAGGTGTTCATTTGACCTGCGAAACGTACAAAACGGCGGGAATTTAAGAACATTGAAGGCGCGCGAGGGAGGGAGAAGGAAGGGTTCTCTTTCTTCTTCCTCGCGCGAATTGAACGCAAGCAACGTCGAATACTGGACAATCCAGGGAGAACAATCACATGAATTTTGGACGGCATGGGTTATTTGTGGAGCGAGGGTGCAAATTATGTTAGAGGGACAGAAATATAAACTACATGCCCGACAAAAGCTAGTCATGATTGTCATTATTATCAATACAGAAGGCCAAAGCGTACAAATTTATTTCATAAGGACAGATTGTTTAACATGAAATCATGTTTCGGGCTGCAAATTCCATTTAGGGAGGGCAGTTCGTCATTTGGCCACGTTTAGTGATAATAATAGTTGTTAAGTGGTAGACTGGAACAGTGTCTGATCGCAGGTTGTTGTTGTTGTTGTTGTCAATTGTACCACATGACCAATTACTCCAATTGCAAGTAAATCAGGGTTTTATGTGTTCATCGCTTCTACCTTCACGTTAGTTTTGTCTGTAACAATCGTGTTGGACTGTTTTTATCTGCGTATTTTCTATTTTGAGAAATTCTCAACTAAAGTTCGCCGTAAACGTTACAATAATTCTCTTTATTGGCGGATCTAGGGGAGAGGGCCGGGGAGCCTGGGTTCCAACCTTAATTTTGACCAAACCGAAGCTCACAGGGCTGAGAGAAAATAATACATTAAAATTCCGAAAATAAGCCCCGGGACTTATATTTTTCAAAGGCCCTTTTGGGCTTATTTTCGGAGGGGCTTATGTACGGAGGGAAATTTGCGTTTCAAAATCGTTTGGGGTAGCTTGCAGTGGGAAGAAAATTTCCCAGTTTTGCTTTGTTTAACTTTGTATTCGAGGGCAAATTGCAATTACCAGCCCCCGGGGGCTTATATTCGGAGGGGCGATTTAACGGAGGGTTTTTAGCGTTACGATTTTTGGGGGCTTATATTTGGAGGGGCTTATTTTAGGAATTTTACGGTATTTCTAAGAGCTGGGCCTCCTCTATTCTTAGGGTGCTTTCCCAAAGTCAGAACTGGCAGGCCAGACCAGTTAATTTGAAAATGAAATATTAGTTTTTCCTCAAAATTTTTACTAAAACCCATCACATCTGTGCATACCATTTAGGAACTAAGCTCTGATTAATATTGGAATTCTCCTTCCTGACAAATCGTAAGAGCCTTCAGGCTCTACTCCCGACCCTACCCCCACCCCAGAGAAAGCGAAAGGGAGGGTACACTGAATCCACCAGTGTAAGACAAAGTGGACTGGGGAGACCACCTGTTTATGATAATGCCAATGCTCAAACATCTAGTAAGTCAAAAATTAGAATATTTTATTTTACTTCAAAGAAAAAATTATTTTACTTTTTAATATAGATGCGAGGAAGAATGACTATCTACAGTGTGTGTACAAACTAATATGCTTTTACTGCAGGAATAAGTTCTTGTTATCAATAACTACAGACAATTGAAAAGATTGTATATTACAGTAGGATTCTACATACATGAGAAACCATAAGTTTAGCTAATGGAAATTTGATTGCAAGACTATTAAATCTCCTGATATCCAAGTAAACTGTAACAATAAAATTTGGTAACTCCACAAGATTTTTCAAGTCATGAAGTTTTAAAACCAATGTCAAACACAAAGTGGGTAGCTTAAAGCCACATCCTTTGCTTTTGCAATTAATTCGGCTGTAAGGTGTCTGGATACCATTTAAAACACTTAGCAAAAGAAATTTTCCACAAAACGTGTTTATTTTTGTGGCACTTAGGTGATTTCCTTTCTTTTTCCATAAACCTTTTATTGATAGTAAATACATGAAACATGAGGCAGTGTTTCAACAAATATCCAGACAGGCTGGATATTACCAAATGACCAATTATCCTAATGTGGGTGGGTATTCATTTGCAGCATACACGTACATGTCTAGCCATCACATTTGCCTGTTGCAATTTATTTATTTATTAAGAAAAAAATAAAACTCAAAAACAATAAAAAATTCCACGGGGCAAATGTGAAGGCTATACCAGGGTCCGAAATTAACTTTTTAATATGGGCGCCAACTGGTGAACAAGAATAAATTTTTGGTCGCCAGAGGGCAAATTATGGTCGCCAAAAATTCCCCTTGGCGGCTTGGAAACGTTCAACTCGTATTGATCGTAGCTGTTGTGGAGGTATATTTACAGGAAGATTCGTTTCACTTTTAAATTAAAAAAATTTCAGCAGGACAAAAAGTACGCCCCTGTTGGCAAATAGCTTTGAGGTTTCAATTCCTAATCATTTTCTCTGAACGTGAAAGTCTACAATAACAACCAGCTTCACAAGTCGCCAGCTGGTGACCGGCTATGAAATTCTGGTCGCCAGAACTGAATTTTTGGTCGCATTGGCGACCGAGAAGGAGCAATTTCGGACCCTGTATACGCGTATATATGATACAAATGAATCCACACTAAAGGTCGTCAAAAACTCCTTTGTCTTAAATACCTTAATCTATTATTAATGAGATTGAGAACAAGATAAAAGTTCATCCAAGGAACATTGAAGATTGTAAATTCAAATGTGCTCTCAGCACCTGCCTGACTTCCTCATGAATCAGGGCAGTCATGGATATATATAAACCTAATTATACAACACAATTACCATCGATAGTTTAAAACCATAATCATTCTTCTCAATTCCACGATAAACAAAAAGTTATAGCATTTATTATGTCCATGCATGCCACATTACCATTGATAAAGCTTCCAAAGTTTTTAACCTGTATGCAAATTAATTAACATAATGCAATTTGTAAATGTTTGTTAGAAAAAAAAAACATCAAGAAACAATAACTGCTTGCTCATTAAAAATGCAACAGGAAAGTGCAGTCAAGGAAACAAAAAAATTCTATGAAAACACAAATGACAACTTAAATTATGTACACTTAATTGAAGAAAAAACTCACCTAAGATAAATTATCATTTTCATCAAATAAATATAACTCCTCTTCTATGATAATTAATATTATTCTAATGGCAGAAATATTACTACTGGTACATCTTACTGAATGATGACTAAAGCAAAATGAAAAGTCAGAATGTACAAAATAATTACGGAAATTATAAAAAATATTTAACTTTACATTTCATGTGTTAATTAACATTAATTCATTTACATTAATAATATCCCAGTACAAAAACCAGCAATTTTAGTTCATTTGAGCATATCAAAATGGTGGGATTTGCAAAATACCTGTAACATCATATTTCAACATCATAGGGTTTCAATATGACGATTTGATAGCTTACTTTGTGTTTAAGTCGCTTTTCTTTGCTTTGTTTTGACACCTCTGGCTTTGCTGAAGAGCCTCCTACTTTATCAGTGATCACCTCCTACATAAAAATCTATTGAGAACCCTGGAATGCTTAAAACACAAAAGAGCACAAGAAACCCCACTTGTTTGTGCACATGCATAGACAAAACACTGCGCTAGATAAAGTGTGTAACAAATTAATCATCTTCATTACTACCAACACTTTCCAAAACTGATAAACTGTCTTTGTCCACAGTACTACCATGATGGGATATGTTAGTAACTGAGGTTTGTTCAACTATATCGTCTGCCACCATGGCCTCTGCAATTGAAGATGTCGTAGCAAAACCATCACAATTGTTGATGTTAAAATTGTCAAAGCTACTTGCGATGCTGACAGTGCAACTACGGGGTCCAGGAATCAGTGAGGCATGACTGTCACCATCACCTCCCCCTCGGGGTCCAATGGTGCTACTGTCTAAGCTAGAGCAGTCCTGACTCATACTAATACTGGGTTGTTTGCCACTTTCCGTGTCTATAGGAGAAACAGAAGACAAAATCAGTATAAAAAATCAAGAGCAATTTGGGACAACTGTATGTAACAGTCACCTTTTAATGAACAAATAAAGCAGTATTGAAAAAATAATAATAATTAAATAACATAATAATATATCCATCACAAATGAGGACACCAGATGTTTCTTAACATGGTGAACCTATATTTTGGCTGCATTTAACAGCCTTCATGAGGATTATAAAAGGGGTTACAAATCCGTCTGCCACACTACATAAAAAAAAAACACAGCATGCGAACACTCGTACCAACAAAATATAACAGGCGTGCGTTAGCAATTACCAGGTAGTTCTACTATTTTATCTATGACTCGCACGCCCATTTTGAAGCCAAAAAAAACACTCATTAAGGCTCTACGGGCTCAAAGTGTTCACAGATTCAGATGAACACTGTGCAAGTGTCCCTTGGTTGTTAATAAAAAGCAACTGCACTTTCAATTTGGAAGCCTTTGGAAGAATTCTATGGAGTTAAGCTAGGTCATGCATTACATGTACTCTGCAGCAGCCCAATGCCACTCAGCAAGGAAATATCACTGATAATGCCCCTATGGCCTTTCAAGCAACCTTACAGGGTTTACAACTCCTAACAAAATTTTCAAAACTTTCCCTGTTTTAGGGTATTTTTGACCTAACTCAGTTCAACAGACATAAACCCATGGTGTCCATCCAAAATGTGTGCCCTCTGTGCTGTGCCTCTATTTTACATAGTCTACCAAAGAGAACTTTAATTTTCCATGACTTTCAAGGCCTGGAAAAATGAAATTCTCAAATTTAATGACTTTCCAGGTTCTGTATGAACCCTGCCTTAAAGTGGATTCATCAGCCCTCTATCACGCAGTACAGAAAAAGCGGAAAGAGAATGAAGGAGCTTAATAATTCACATACCTGCTCCTCTGTTGTTAACAGTAGCCACAACAGTCACAACTCCAGTGGTGGAGCCCTTATCTCCTCCACGCATGCTGCTTCTGCTGCTTGAACGAGAAGTACCAAATGCTCCTACAACCCCTGGCATCCCTGTGGAAGGCTCACCATCTTCATCAAAGTCAAGATTCACTCCTTTACCATTTCTGATATTGGTTACCGTGGCGCACCCACCACTTCGGCATAGAGATATTGGAACCACTCCATAGATGTAACCTAGAGCTATTGGCACCCCAACCCCAACTGTTAGTGCGGCGAGAATAGGTGCTGCTATGATTGATACTGTCACTGCCCCTGTGATGGCCAAGTGACGTTTCCGTCTTGACTGATAAGGTTTGTCATACTTGTCATGGATCTGAACGAAAAAAAAGTTGGGTTACCAGTATTCAGAAAACAGCACACCCCTTTTGCTTCCCTAAAGAAAAATAATTACAATGGTTTTAAATCCTATTTTAAATTTTTAGTGAGTAGCAAATGGTTAAATGCATGTAATGTACACAGGGCTCGAAAAAAACTTGAATTCCAGCATGTCCTTTGGGCACGCAGCTCTCACATTTTCCCATGCTTTTTAAGGCACATGTACTTGCCCAGCACAAAAATCTACTTGTCCCGGAATATTGGACGGGACTTTTTGAGTGCTATGACATGTATTAGCATAAAATACAGTCTGCATAGGTCCTGTTTCCACTACAACAGAAAATAGAGTTTGGCATTTTCAAAAAAATTGAGAAGTTTGTAGTTACCAAATTTTTGTCTTTGTAACCTTGTTCGCACCTGAGGTACGCAAAAGTTTTAATTTAACTAAAAACATCAATTAAAGGAACTATTATTGGTCAAGTTTGCAAAATTAGAAGACCAGTTGAAGGATAGCTGTCAAGGAAGAAAGAATTTCATCACTGACAAAAAACTGTAGGCCTCAAAACATGGGGCACTTGAGAAAATTTGGTCGGTGAAAAAAACCGTTTACACTAGAATTTATCAGCTCACTGTTGACAGGTTTTTTGCAAAACAAAAAAACTTGCAGTGCGAACAGGGCCAAACTCTGGCTCGATAATAATGTTAATGAGCCCTCCTGGTTGCCACGGCAACTAGAACTTGAGTGCTGATGACCAGACTTTCACAACAGGTTGACAGGATGCAACTAACTTTTTGCCTTGTTAATGTTACAACCCCCGCTTAAGGAACTATTAATATGATGAGCATTTTATGGCCATTAGCCAGCAGCTAATAGCTAAGTAGCTATTGTGTCAGGCTTGTATTTTGAATTGAAGGAGAGACCTGCTAAAACTCACAGTGATTTACCTAATTATAAGTGAAATTCTTTGTCAATCAAAATGATTTCAACCCTCTGGAATTACATGTCATGCTTCTATCCTTGATTGCATGAGTTGTTGCCTTTTTAGATCTTTCATTATCATGTTTACATTTTAAGAAGACTTTTTGTGTAAAGAAATTTGATTTCTGTATCAAAAACATCTTTTAATGTTTTTCAATACTGTTAGTCACAATTAATTCTGCAGACATTTTTTGGCACCTAAAATTTGCCACCAGGCAACCAAAATTTTTGTTTTGTCACTACTTGGTGCCCACATGGAAAAGTCACTTTCAACTGGGAAAACAAGTGTCAAACATCAAGTGAATGGTCAAAACAATGAAAGCAAAAACTTGTCAACTCCTGTGAATTGCAATACTTGACTGTGAACACTAAGTAAGGCTAAAAAAGCCTATAAGAAAAAAAGAGAAGACTGTTTGTTTTTTTCTTAATTCACATGGTCAAACAAATGGCAAATACAAGGATGGGTTTCACTGGCTGAATTCCAAAAAAGGACAGACAATGTTTGTTGAAAAACTTAAACCCCAGTATCCACATACAAACTGTCCAAACTGATCTCTATTCACTTCCTTAAAGTATAAGTTGAGAGAACTTGATAAAAGATCAAGAAATTTTACCTCTAGTGATCATTTTATTGATTCTCATAACTGCATCTCTTGACAGTGTATGGATATCGTTAGGAGAAAATTGATGTTGATTGCTATTCGCATTTTTAGGAGCCTGGGGTCTACGTGTGCTGCTGGGACCCTTAATATTTAGCACTGCAGTTGACTTTGCTAACTTTCTTGACTGGGCATCAAGCCAGACTATGAACCAGAAACTTAAATCTTCATTACTACTAAACAATTTCCCATAAATAACACCTGGCAGTACTCTCCACTCCATCCCCTGGCCCATCTACTGTGTTAGGACCAACAGTAATTTACAGGTGTGGCTAAGGGCTGGCTGCTGGCTAATTTCACCAGCTGAAAAAGAGCTTACCACAGTCTCATATTGGTCTGGGAAACAAAGAAATGCAATTTCTGAAGGTGGAGTTGAGTAAAAATGCCAGCTGGACTAATGAAAAAGCCTTCTTATCTTTTCCTTAGCTACATCCCGCAATATTGCTGATCATTATCTGTGACTGACAAAATAAGGACTTTAAGCAAATAACCATAGCGACCTCTACTATGAAGGCCAGAAGTAAAAAAGCCAAAAAATGACTCAATGTGCATGCTTGGACATGATCTTTCGGTGTAATGCCAAATCCTACAAAATAAAGACCTGCCTTGTGGCGTAGTTGCTCCCACGTGAGTATAAAATTCAACTTTTCTCTTATTTTTTACAATCACTGGTTTTAAAACCTATCATGGGTTGTTTTTCACTTTATCAAGAAAGTTTTTGATGCTTCTGGTTTCCAGTGATTACATCTTCCCTGCATTTTATTAACAGCGAAAGCAAATGAGAGAGAAACCCCATGGTCACTGTTTGGGTGCCGCTTGCTTAAAGTAATGTACTCTCCCCAGGACTCTGCATCCACGACCACCATTATAGGTCGCCATAGTGATTTGTTTTAAGTCCCTAATATCCACTTGCAAACACCAAACCAGTGGCTAAAAAGATTTGGTGCAAGAAATTTTTGTCAGTCTTTCGGGATGCTGTTGTTTCAGTCAGCCAACTATAACTCTGTGCTCTTAATCCCTACCTGTCTTCCAACATACACAGGGATACCAATCACCATGGCAGGTAGTACCACTCCTGCAGCCAAGGCAATACCAAGGGGTGCACCAATGAGAGTTCCCATTTGCCATAGGATCTTCTTCTTACGACTCCAAGGCTTTTTACCCCAAAAAGTGCAACCAGATGGGCTACAAAGTATAAAAGAATGACTTCTGTATCTTAGAGCACAGTTTGAAGATATATTTTAGGAAAAGAAGAGTGTTTAGGTGTTTTTCCCCCAAGGTTCAAGTGATGGTGGAATTGAATTTACAGGAAAGGGGAATTGAACAGCTTGGGAGTTCTTTTGGTTCTACATCCTAACATGTATTTTCTTTCTGTTTTCTATAAAGTAGCCAACGGTCATGCTCCTTACAGCTGGTGAAAATCCCCGACTCCCGGGCCTATAAATGTTCCACTGTATAGTCACACTCCCTTGAAGGGGTCAAACTGTATTGAGCTTTTTTTCCAAGCAGTATTTCTGATTGGTAACTTTGATTTTGATGTGCTGTATTGGTATTCAGTAAAAGAAGACCGTTCCCGGAATTATTGGGGTACTGTTCACTTGCTCTCTCCTGTCTAAAGCAGGTCAACATTTTTAAGACTTACAACTATAAAATGGTAAATGATTACACAATTTCTGACAGATAATCTATGATGAAATTGGTAGGGCATCAAATGCCTGGGCTTTTTTATCATTGTACTGATCAATTTGAGGTCTTCTGGCGTTTTCACGCAATGGCTGAGGTTGATTGCTGGTGCATTCATGCTTGAGATAAACAAACAGGTGAGATGGTCATAACTGCGGTATCGGTACTTCATCAATTTTTGGCATGGTATTTGCCAATTTTTCTCATGGTATTGAGGTATTGAGTAGCCCCCAATGTCCCCCTCCTTAAAACAGATAACAATGCCAGACACCCAAGTGTCTGCACTAAACAGGTGTCTGTATCATAGTTAAATGTATTTGGTGCAGTTAGGGTGTTCTGTAGTAGTAGATAGGATAACCAAAGTAACAGGCACCATACATGCAATATTTTTTTTAGAGAAAAAGGCATCTTATTTAAATGCCTCCAAATTTTCCTTTACATGCAGCTAAGTATATTGCCTCACCTTAAGTAATGCAAATCTGAAATTTCCTTCATGCATAACCAACAAAACTCTGCACCACAAACTGCACAAGTCATGTGATTACATGAGCCATCGTCCATTTTGATAATAAAAGCGCCACATCTAGGACATGGCTTCATGTCATCTGAGCCATTTGAATTGCGGCCCTCAGATCCTGAAATTGACTTGATGTGAGTGGCACGTCGCATTCTTGCCGAGTCACAAGTCAAATTAGGATGCCAGATTTGCTTACAGTGGTAGCAAAACTCTGTGTTGCAACCGGGTCGTTCACATTGCAATTTTGGACAGCTTGCACACCCAGATGCAATGACAGCATAGCCGCAATCTGGGGCAGGACACCATCGGCAATCAGGGTCTGCAACTAATGTTCTCCGTAAAGTAAATTCATCATATTTGGCCATTAAGGCATCGTTGTTCAAAATTAGCTTTATGTCGTTGGGATGAAATCGTTCTGAGCATTCCGGACAAGTTAAATTAACTCTTGACTCATTGATTTCAATTGTCATGTACTGTCTAAGACACTCGAAGCAAGACCTGTGTTCACATGTTGAAATTTCTGGAAAAAGAGATTTCGATCTCATAGCGTAGCAAACAGGGCAAACAGCTAATGAATCAGTACTGCTTTTTCTTGTAAACTTGTCTGTCGAGTTTTCGCCTTTGTAGCTTTTCGAACGCCCAAAAATCCTTCTAAGAGAGAAACGTCGATCCTCGCTGGGATTCTGTTTCGACGGAGATTCTTCTGAAATTGTCCCTCTTGCCTTGTCCACTTCAGTTACTCTGCCTTTCGCCATCTCGGATTAAAGTCCTGCCAAAAACACAACGCAGACAAGTCATTAGCAATCACGTCTGCTCGAATGAAAATTCTCAGGGGAATTAATGTAAAAACTTGAAAGAACAAGAAAATGTACTACCAATATAGCAAAAGTAATGCGGTGATAATATCAATTAGCTAGATAAATTTTAAACTCACTAAACACATACTGCCAAGCACTGCTGAAGGAATAAGAAATTTAAAGCTTTGTGTCAAATCTAAGCCCAAGCTAAACTTACTTCGGATGCCAAACTTTCGATTCTCTCTCTTGGTGTTCAGTGGAAATCTAGGCACAGAGACAGTCCAAATCACAGTTTTTTTTTCACAAAATACTGTCGAAAAAAGAAGACAATAAGGTCCAAGAACTCCTCTTGGTTGTGAAATTTTCTATAAAACTTCCAGTTCCGTTGTCGACGACCCGTATAATCATAATAAATCTACAAATGTCTTCCATTCGACAGAACGCATTTACTTTACGACCGCTCACCTGTTTAGTGATTAACGAACAAACAAAAAGGTTATAGAACAAAAAAATCATTCGCAAAGAGCATGAAGTCTTACCTCTTTACGTCGATGTAGTCGATATATGATCTGACGCTTCCCAGTTTAGAAAATTGTTCCAAACATTCCACTTTCGCAACGCCTTAAAATGGAAAATGGCACGACGCGATATTTTTGGAAATTGAATTGAATTTCTAATGTGTAATGTAGAGGCCGTTTTCCTGTGTAGTTGGGTTATGTGATCATAGAACGAAACTAGGGCCGTTACATAAATTTCATTTGCCTTTAAAAAGCAAACGAAGTGTATTTGAAATTTCGTTCACACTCCACAGATCAAGATAGACACTGAGAACAGTCTAGTAGTTTCCAGTCGAGCAAAAATGCGTCAAAGGACGTAAACAGCTGAACAGTAAAGACAAAACGTCCTTTAGGAGCTAGTTAACTCGACGAAATGCAACAGGGAAAACAATAAAAACGCAACAACGAATATATCGAGTAAAAAAACCGTCTTCTCGATCTCATTTCCAAACACAGCGATAATTGTTTTGTTTTGGGTCACGTGGTAGGTCTAAAAGCCGTCATATCTACGACACACAACGTCACCAGGAAGGAAGATTTTGGTTTCCAGACTCCTCGCTGTCGTCTCGAATGTTTTGTTTTCGACCACGAGACTTTCATATCCGTCTTTGAATTACCTTACATTCGCCCCTTCGCGTTTGAACGTGTTTTAAATATATGTCAAGACATTTAATGTCATGAATGCCTAGTTTTAATTAAAGTAACTTCCTTCCATGAGATTCGGCAGGTCAAGGAGATGTTATCTTGTAATCAGTTTTGGCATTGTGCTGATTCTGCTCTTTTTTTCCCACTGGAAAACAATCAAGATACTGGATGAAAGTCATGAAAAAACTGTCCTTCCCGTTAACGAGAAAGAACTTCAAAAAAGTGGAAGTGAAACGGACGAGAAAGCAAATGGCAACAGATGCGTATTGGAAGATGGTGTGCAAACCCTTGGTCACTGCATAAATAAAGGTGACTTAGGCTATAAAGCTTAGCTTTAAATTGCCCTTCAGTATAATTAATATATTATTCTTTACTCACTACCTATGGGCACTGGAATACCAGGTGAGGTGGTGGTGATGAGGGGTGGGGGAGGTGGGAGGTGTTTTACAGCTGGTGGGACCCTGGCAGGGAACCTTCAGCCCACCCTGTTCTATACCAGGTGACAAAAAAATTCCCTACCCTTTACCCAAAAGACATTAAGCCAGAAACTCCAATCCTTCATAGCACTGATCAATTTCCCATAAAATAATCATGCCCTAATTTAGACCAAATCCCCATTTTTCTATTATATTTAGTATCCCATACTAAACTGTTTCACAAGGGCACATACCTACATAGCTATCCATCATATCAGAAGTGCCTCCTTGCTTCCCTGGAAAAGTAGTCACCATAAAGTGCTTTTAATATTAATTTTGTAAGAATGCCGGTAGACGTTTTACTAAATTGACGGTTACGTGGTCTTGCATGTGATTGCATGGCTTTGACAGTTGACTCAAAGCTTTGCCCCTCATCAGCTATTTGCCAGTAGAAATAAACAATTGCCTTGTCTGTACAAGTGAAGGGTAAAATGCAGACAAGCGACATGACCTTGAAACAGCAACATAAGGCAGCAGAAATGGCGACAAATGATACAAAGATAGGTTGCAATAATGTGACAACCTCAGAGAAAAGTGCAAATACAATATATAGTAAAATGGCTTTCTTCTCAATATGCGAAACGACAGGTTTTGAAAATAAGAAAATAAGACTACGGACATACATAATCTCCCTAAGAGGGCCTTAAATATAGCTGCCACAAGTTTTCAGTTTATAGTGTTAACAAGAGATTTGATGCTGTTGATGTTTTTGAACTTTTTTAACTATCCTTTCTTCCTTGATATTCAAGGTGAATACCTTGTGTTAGGCCACTCCATTCAAAAGTAAACTCCTGATCCAAATTGTCCATGCATTTAACTGCAAGGGATTCTGTTACAGTTCTATTAGCCTTGATTTATCTTTGATTTTTGATATTCTTCTTCTGTTCTTATATTTCCAGTTGTTTTAGGGGTTGCACCCTCTGACCTCCAAAAATATCAACCCAATCCGAAGGGTTTGTTCACTTGCTTAGATGGAGAGCTCAGTATAAGCTGGAGTGCAGTTAATGATGATTACTGTGACTGCATTGATGGTAGTGATGAGCCTGGAACAGGGGCTTGTCCAAACATGAGGTGGGTCTTTACTAGAGTTCCTGTGGTCACTTATCCCAGCTATGTCACCCCACCCCCTCAAGAGATGGGGTGTTGATGAGAACTGTGCTCTTTCACAGAAAATCTTACAACTCTCTACCTACTGGTAGTCCTAGTTAAACAATACAACAACTGTTAATAAAACTCAGTTTTTTGAAAATATAGCCTTTCCTTATTATTAACAGTGATGAGTTGCTTTATGTCAGGAAGTAACTTTAACTGATTAAAATTTTTTGTCTTGACTTTTGTGGCCTTTATTTATAAGGGTGAACACCAAAAGCAATTACTGGTGAGTGGTGAGAACACTCGCCTCCCACCTGTGTGGCGCTGGTTCAAATCCTTGCATCAGTGCCATATGTGGGATGAGTTTGGTGTTGGTTCCTCCTTTCCCCCTGAGGTTCTCTGGTTTTCCCCTCTCCTCATAAACCAAGATTTCCAAATTCCAATTCAACCAGGAATGGTAGACAAAGAACCACTAGGTGGATGTGCCAGACTCATACCCATTCGCTATTTGTAAGTCTTGTGAAATGAGAAGAGAGAAGATTCGATGATTTAAGTGGGGTGTGTAAGTACTCACAGGAAGGGCGAGAAAAGAGACCCCCACATGCCTCAACCTAATCCCAATCTTCTTGTACCCCAGAAACACATACTGGGTACAAGTCTGTGGTTGTGCTACCTCTAAATGGTTATTTATTTGTTAATTATATTACTCTTGTTTACTTTAGTTTTCTTTTTCAACAGATTTTTCTGTTCCAGTCAACAGCAGTATTTGCCCTCTTCACGTATCAATGATGGGATATGCGACTGTTGTGATGGGTCAGATGAATGGAAAAAACAGACAGTGAGGGGAGATGTATTGACAAATCACAACTTTAACATTAAATATGCCCCATGTGTTAATGGCTGTTAAAAATTGTAGGTTGAAGTGCTTTGAGTTGATAGATTTTAAGGTTACTTTTAGCTTCCTTCTTTGTATTATATTTTATTTATAGTTATAGTAAAGTAACCTAGAAATTGGATATTGCCCCATTTATAAACACAATGTATAATGTACCCTCATGAATGGATAAAAAATACTGTATTGAAACACATCACTTGCTGTTTATCAGTAAAGTGAGGGAAAATCATGCTGCCTCACACTTAATATCACCTGTGAGACATGGTACTCCTTGCTCTAAGACCAGAGGGAAAGACCTTCTCCCCAGTAGCCTCCCACCAAGGCATTTATGAGGGCAGCCATATTTCCCTCCGAGGGAGGAAATACAACTCCCCTTGGAATGCCTGCGCTGGAGGCTATCTCCCTGTAAGCAAAGATTTAGAAGCATGTGTTCTGTTTGAGGTGTATTTTTTGGTTTTTAAAGTTTCCAAACCAACTTTTTTTCCCCTTCGTCTCAGTTTTAATTAGTAATTCAAAGCAGGGGAAATTACATACAATTCAATAAACTGGTTTGAAAGGTTAAACAACACATACATGCACACCGTGATAAATTAAACTTTGAGGGTTTTATGTTGTTCTTTACTGAAGGTTAATTTTTTTTCATTCATAGTCTGTGTTGCATGCACTGGAATGGGATGGAATGCAACAATGAGGACCATTAAAAAATGCTTGACACACAAGCTACTTACATATTTACGACTCATACTTAAATTGAGCTAGCATGGTTTTACCTACACCCTGAAAGACCAACATGGCATCTATGGACCGCAAGCGGTTGTCTTTCTTTCTTCAGAGCCACGTGCGGTGAGCGAATAAGAAAAAACAAAATTTTTTTTCTTTGCTTGAGTTGCTGCCTTCATTCGTTGCAGCATAGCTGCTCCCTCCAAACAAATGCTCTCAATCTACTGTGACTCAAAAGAAAAATAAGAGACTGCTCGCAGTCTATGGCATCTATGGGAAAATGATTGGCCAATACCTGCAAGACAGGGTTTTTGTGGCAAATCACCTGATAAATACAGTCATGTAGAACTACAACTTGCCCTCACAAAATAAGTTTTATTCAAGCATTTTGAAGAAGGTTTATTTATTTAGCTGCCTCTTCCTCTTTGGCAAACTGTTGGATCATCTCTTTTCTTTTCTGCTCCTGGCGTTCTTCACGCCTCTGTTTGGCTGCCCTGTTCTTCTGTCTACGAGCCTCAGCTTGATCACTGTAACCAAAGAGAAGTTGTCAGAACTGGTTAGTTTGGAGGTGTTATAACTTCTGATAAAATAAATTTACAGTTTTAAATTTTACCCCATTAAATCCTTGGTATTAAAAAGGTTATCTAATCCATAAATAGCCTTCATTGCAGATGTAATCTAAACCCAGTTACCAATGTCTGCGAAGCAGCGCCGATATCTTTGTTCCCCTCCCCCAGCGGACTCAACAAATTACTGGATGCATTTTGAATTTCCTTTTAACCTGATTGGCAAATTAACAATGGCTTGTTTAACAGGCCAATCACGGTGCGTGCTCAAATCCTGGTACAAAGGCAGAAGCCAAGCACAAGGATCAGGGCCATTTTGCAAATGGATTTAGCCAGAAGTAACTGTTTATTTCAGTCTGTGACACAGGCTAATCTATAGCTTGCCTGACTGTGCTTTGCTAACAAAGAGTTTGTAAAAGAAAATACATGGCAGAAGTATGTGAGAGGAGCCCAGGACTGAAGTCAATCACAGATAATGCAATCTCAGATCAGTCAGAAAAACTCCTTTGTTGCTGTTTGCACACTTAGTCACCCATCCTTCATAAAAAGAAGGCAAGGCCGGCTTAATAGTGTGCAATACTTAGACATTAGGCAACTAAAAGACTAAGGGCAAAAAGGACAATGATGTCTCACAGACACAAATCCAAGGAAACATGTGATTGTTAACAGATAACATGAGCAGTAAATGAATGTGCCTCTACATATCCCAGTCTAAAAACCTTGGGACACTTCCGATTTTTTGAGCTTGCACAGTGCAGTCCTTTTGCCCCCTTTCAAAGTTGTTAAAAGAACAGTTTGGGAAAGCTTGAGCAATTTTCAACTTTGTGAAGGGGGAGGTGGGGGTAATCAACCAAGTGTCCCAACTACTTTGTCCAGCATTGAAGGAAAGTACAGGTCATGCACCCATATGCTATTTAAGATTGGACAACTGAAGACATTGTGAAAACAGAGAATCTGTGCCCTGAGCCCATATTTTGTACAATCGACTCCCACTAACTCAAACCCTCGCTAACTCGAATGTCACACTAACTAGAACCAAAATCGATTTCCCCTGCAATTCCGTCACACAATCACTGTAATTTTACCCTCAGTAACTCGAACCCTCATTAACTTAAACTCCCGCTAACTAGAACCAATTTTTGTTTCCCCTCAGGTCATTTTCTATATAATTTTACCCTTGATAACTCAAACCATGTTTTGAGCCCTTAAAAAGTTGGGAAAAAAGCCATCTAAGGGTCCTATTGATGTGTTGTAGGAGTATAGTTTTACTAGTGGAGGCTGATGTTGATTGTCACAGACTAACGTGAAGCAGCTTTTCTTCTCAAAACAGTAAAATGCATGCTCTATTTAGGCTATGTTTTGTTATGTTACGTTCTGATAAAATCTAGATTTTCACTTGACATTTTTACAATCAAATGTGATTAAAATGAAGGCTAGACACTACCAACACCTTATGACTGACGAACTAGTGTCCAACTTTGGCTTTATGTCATGCAATGAATTAACTAACATTAAGGTAAACGTCAAAGACAAGAAACTAACACCATTGGATCCAACAATGAAGGTACATAAGAAGACACTGACTAACATCGGATGAACTGATGTAGGGGGAACGTTAAGAAGACAAGACTACTATCTTAACAGTGGGACTATCCAGCTACGGAGACGTGTAAGAGGAACATAAGAAGATGTTAAAGTCTAACATCGCAATAGGGGCAAACTCACATATGTCAAAACACGTACATTCTAACTCTTGCCTTATCTATGCTTCCCTCTAACAAAATGTAATTTGCGCGTGTGGGGTTTGAGTTGCTGGAAGACGCAGAGCTCTTATTCGTTTTAACTCTGGGAGACACATTACTATATTAATTAGAGATCCGGGACAAGGGGTTACGTGTTTCTTATTGAAACAGAAGATGACTCGCTAACTGGCGACCAGGTCTTAAAATGTAGTCGCCAGAACCCAAAATTTTAGTCGCACTGGAGACCAGTGAGTTTCAATTTCGAGCCCTGGTGTCTGTTCATAAAGGTAGAAAATAATAATAAACAAAGTCTCTCTGTACTAAATTGCGAGGTTCACTTCCTCCCATATAAAATTCAAGGACTTTTCAATGACTTTCAAGGACTTTCCACACGTTCCAAATAAACCATGAATATAATCCGATAATAATGGGCTTTTGCCCTTAGGGGCAACCTTTTTTTCAGAAAACTCATTTGTAAGTCAATACCTGACTTTCATTTTATCAATGCTGATTTTACTCTGTTAGTTTCAAACTGGTATTTTCCAAAGTTCTTCTGGGGTTTGAAAATGTTCTTTGACTAAAATTCAGGGACTTTCAAGGACCAAAATGACTGAAGGAGAATTTCAAGGACTTTAGAGGCCTTGAAAAAGGGTTCTAAAATTCAAGGGCTTTCAAGACGCATATGAACCCTGTATATACGAAAAGTGTGTTGCAATGCTTCTAAGTTGATGAGATAAGAACAATCAACCACAAAACAATACAATACTACAGAACAGTCCTCATACATTATTACAAATGTTACATGCAACAGAAGTTCCCACCTGAGAAGTTTGGCACGCTGCTTTTCAGCCTTCTTCCTGTGGATGTACTCCATTAATACTCTCTTGTTCTTGAACACATTTCCCTTGGCCTTCATGTAAAGGGTGTGGTACATGTGGTTATCAATCTTTTTAGCTTCTCTATATTTTCGCAGCAGCCTTCTCAGCACTCGCATACGCCTCATCCAGATGACCTTTTCAGGCATACGTGCATTGGCAGTACCTTTTCTTTTACCGTGTCCGCTGTGTCGACCCTTCTTTCTGGCTTCATCAGCCTTGCGAACACGAGCACGGCTATGGATAATTGTTGGTTTCTTGATGATCAGACCATCTTTGACAAGTTTACGAATATTTTGGCCTTAAAAATGCAAGAGAAATGACTTATTAAACTTGCTTTAAATTCATGTAACCAAACTATGCTGTTGCTCTGACAAGGTTTTCATGGTAAAAGAAAAATACTGCTACTGATGTCAAAGTGAGGGTCGGGTATGCATTACAAAATAGTTTTTTTTGAAAAAAAAAAAAAAAAAAATAGAAATGTTAATGATAAAAGGACTGTCCAATTTCAAAACAGCTTAATATTCAACCAGGCCAAGTTGTTAAAAGCACCGCTAGCAGTACTCCTGAGTTAACAACAAACAGAGCATATGAGTTGTCATGGTACCCAGCTCTATTTTTTTTTTGTGCTCATCATCTTAGGAACAAACCCAGCCTGAATGTCGGAAACAATGTCAGGTTTTCTTTATCATGACTACTTGACATTAACCACCACTTGACAAACACTGGATTTTCTTTTCATAAGGGCTTTCTTGAGAAGGGTTAAACAAGGCTCAAAAACAGAAACAAACACTCACGTGAGTTGGCATTAGCAATTTCATTAGTTTCATTAGGATCCAACCAAATCTTCTTTTTTCCGCATTTAAGGACACTGGCTGCCAGCCGCTTCTGAAGTCGCAAAGTACTATAAAACAAAGCATTCACTATGATGTAGTAAATGAAAATGAAACAACATGAAACCTGTCACACAAGTTTATAATGTCAAGAAAGTGTCCCTATAATGAATGAGAAACAAAGCACTGCACTTTGAAACTGTAGCAGCTGGACTTAGAACAAAACAATATATATATATATATATCTATCATCAAAATTAATTTCTTGTGAGCTATTTCTTCATTAATTTCACATTTAGCTACACCACCTTGGTATCACCAAACATTGCCTGATAACAGTTGTCACTAACTGAAACCTTACTCTCTCTACACTGGACAACCACAGGACTAGGTCCGGGCCCAGTTGTTTGAAGGCTGGTTAGCCCTAACCAAGAGTTAAATTTTAAGCTGGGTTTCTTTTTCTTTTGATCAAAAGCATTTTATTTTTGTTGGATAATTTTCTCTAATCTTTTTCGAGTAGCCATTTATCAAATATTATTGTAGACAAAAAGAAAAAGCTGAATTTGCTTTTTAAGCTAGTTTCATATCTGAATTCAAATTTCACACTAACCCTGGGATATCTTAACCCAGCGCTGAACAACCTGGTCGTGGAGACAATTTAATAGTTCCTTTTTGAATGTAATTTACAAGCAAAGCCAATGTTTTAGAGTGTGAAAACAAAAGCTACTCTTGAAATTACAATATACTATAAACAGCAGGGTTCACCAATGAATCAGCAAGTTATCGCAGCCCTAGGGATAATGTAGCTTCCAAGATCATGATCTGGCCATCACAGGGTACATGACAAGGGTTCTGTTGAGCTCTGGGTAGCGACTAGTCACCATAATCTTGTGCACTTCTGATATGATGCTTCAAACGTTTTTGAACTCTGAATTGATTCGTAGTATCACTTTTTCCTATACCCTGTCCACACTAATGTGTTTTCAAACACATACATCATTGAAAATGAATCTATTATTGATTTGTGTCCACGCTACGCTTTAATTTGTTTTTGACTGCCCACACTAAGACGTGCGTAAACAATAGAATTGCATATGGTGACATAAGTTTAACTCTACACACATGCTACAAACACATGTGCCTGCGATATTTCCAGTCATCGCTTTCATTTTGACGCGTTTTCGACCATCCACACTAGTACTGATACAATATGTATGTGTTTTCATTTTGATCCGCTTTCAAAATGCTCAATGTATTAGTGTGGACAGACGGCCTAAACGTATCGAAATGTATGCGTTTTCAAACGAAAACTCTTAAATTCTTGAAACTGTACTGGCTACTTAAATTATCTCCAACTGATGTCAACAAAAAAAATTACAAAATTAATCTTCACAGATTTTCTGATTCCCAAAATTTTAAGAGCACTCCTGCTGAAGCATATCACTTATTTAGCTCATACTAAAAATATGAGTTCTCCCAGTTTATCACAGCAGTACGAACTTCATCTGTCTATGCTAAATCTATAACAACACGTGCAAGAATTTTAATCATTTTTTCCTGTTTTACAAAGAATATATTTTGTATAAACCATGTCACGGCAAAAACTAATGTTTAAGCGTTGTGTTGAATGGTTTTTGACGCAAGTATAGTTAATTTTAAGCGTTATAATGCCTAAGTTTATTCCAGAATTCCACAACTACTCCTACCTCATAATGGCGGCGAGTGAAAGGGAAGAACGTGGTGGTGCAATTGCCTATAGGGGGGCCTAAGAATTTATCAGTTGGGTCTGAGAAGATTGCCCCACAAAGTGAGTTTGTTTATCGTGTACAGCGGCTATCCCCATCAAAGGTGAAGTAAATTCACGTGGAGTTCGTGGGCGAAGTTTTTCTGGAAGCTTTTGTGCAGAATTTAGAAGTTTTTTCCCGTCAAAATGCCCAAATCAAAACGAAATAGAGCAGGTAAGTTTATCTGAAACTTATTTACAGTTAAAATTCTCACGTTAGACCTATGTAATCCCTTTGCTTACTGAATAGTTGTCGCTTATTTGGGATCTACTTGATGACTACTTCAGGCTACATGTAAGCTTACTTTTGCTTCAGAAGCACAAGACTTTCGGCTGCAATCTTTTTACATAACGGCAGTTTCGTTGTCTCTGTCTGCAAATGACTGATTACGTACCATAGTCCTTGAGAACAGTTTATACCCAAATATCTAGCACTTTCCTCAGACAAACTTTGTGAACACATCAACACTGTCAGCCAAGATATAAATAAGATAAGACAAGAAGTAAGTGTATAATTTTTTCTTTTGCAGTGTCTCTCACAAAGACCAAGAAAAAAGGATTAGAACTGAAAACAGGACTAGTAAAGGAGGTGATAAACATCATCTGTTTGAATGATCCATCCACATCCCAATAATTGGGATCATTTTATCTAGCCCACCTACCCCCCCCTAAACCAACATAACAAAAAGGGCAAAATGTTGGCAGCATAATCCTAGAAAAATATGTAAAATGATCCAATAATTGCGGGCGATAAGAGGAGCCCGCAATCCCAATATTGAGGTTGTTATTACCTATGCGTTGTATGTATGTAGCCAGCATTTGTTTGGACTTTCACTAAGAATGAATGGAATGAACAGAATGCAGTTTCATCATGCGTGTTTCGACCTTCTACCCCTCGTAATCTGATCATGCGTGTTTTGACCATCTGTCATGAGAAACCTGCATGTTTAATGAGAAACCTGTACACAAAGTGCACACAAAGAACAAAAGTGTTTGACCTTAGATCGTTGTCACCTGCACTCTGTAACCTTTGGTTATTACTAGTTAAAAAAGGGATGATGGGGGAAGGGAAAAAGTGTCATCGTCCCCTTCAAACTTTGTTTTATCCCTATCCTCAGCCTCCCTACAACACAATGAGGCCTGTATGGAGGAAAGAGATACACCAGGGTTTATTCTAGAAATTGGCCAATGAGGGTTAAATGGGCCCCCTTCTGTAATTTTAGGGGGCCCTTTTTCAAGAAAGGGGGTCCCCCGAAAGGTATTTGAACTTGTTGGTAGAGACTGTTCCATGAGAAAATGAACGTTTATTGACGCTTTGCCGCCATTTCGAAACATTCTGGGCAACCTGAAAAAACCAGGGGTCGAATTACTGCAGAATCTGAGATGTTTGTCTGGTGAAATAATGACTCAAATGAAGAAGAGAAAGGCAATTGAGACAGTAATCAAATCAGTGTTGTTGTCAGTGATGTTTTCAAATACTTTAATTCAAAAAATAGTACTTATCCATGGATTTATTTTTTGCGCCCCATTTGACACGGCAATGTAAATTTTATGCAGCATTTTTTTCCAAATTGCGGAAATCCCACAAGGCCGTGCTCTAGAATAAACCCTGTACACAGTAGTTCTTTCCTTCAGGAGTTACATGAATTTCCATTATGGAAAAATTAATAAAAATAACCTGCTTCTAGATCCAAGAATGTGTGGACAACTATGCCTACATCTATGTATTCTCTGTGGAGAACATGAGGAACAGTAAATTGAAAGAAGTCAGGAATGAATGGAAACACAGCAGGTAAGAGACTTCATTACAAGTAATAAGGTGGAAAAAAAACCCTGCTATCTTTAAAAGGGTTTAAATTAGAAGAAATTAATGTACAGTTTTGCCTTCCCACTGTCAACTCCCAAAAAATTTCAACCTTGTTTCCAGAGCTTTTTCCCTTGTCCCCTTTCCTTTCCTATTAAGGAAAAAAACCCTGGGAACAAGGTTGACTCGCCCTAAGACAAGACCATAGGGACTGTCACTTTTAAGAAGTCTCAGGGTTATAGAAGGCACCAAACTGTAGGTGTCTGTTTTAGGAAGATGTCCATCCTACAGAGAGTTGACTACATTCATACATTTCTGCCTATGGTTAAAATTATTATTGTTTGAGATGATGTTGGTTTTCAGTTTATACTGTCAGGAATATTTATTTTCACTCCTCGTGTAGGTTTTTCTTTGGTAAGAATAAAGTCATGATTATCGCAATTGGCAGAGATAGAGAAGCTGAATACAAAGAAAACTTACACAAGATAGCTAATGTGAGTATAGCCAGGGCTGTCAATAAGGGCTGGGGTCAGACAAAGGCTTACGACATCATATGATGTCAGTTGATTTTTTGTTCTGCCTTCATGCCTGATTCTGGCCATTTCTTTGTGTAATGTGGAATTAAGTGATGTATCTGACTATGACAAAGATACAGCAAAGTAAATGAATATTCTAAAGATGACTGGGGAGTTGTCAACAACAATCCTTCTCATTTGCCATCATCTTTTAAAACATTCTTTCTTGCAAATCATTCTACCTCATACTTTTTAATGCGGCTGTCCAATAGGGCAGACATTTTTGGAGGCAAATTTGCATGTTGTGAAGAAGAAAAAAATGGCCTGTTTTGCACTATTTTTGACAAGTTTAATTGCAGATACATATGTTACACCTACATGTATTTAAGAAATTCAATTAAAATAAAAAAAATTGTGTTATATAGACTTTATTAAGTACTTTGCGACATGTTTTGCTTCTTTAGAAACTTAAAGGACAATGTGGATTAATGTTTACAAATCAAGCTAAGGAAGATGTTATCAAGTAAGGCAGTGATTTGTTATTTTCATTTCATTTTAAGCTGTGAGAAGATAGTGAACTACAGCTGGTTAATTAACAAGAGTTAAAACTGATGAAACCTTGTTATTTGCATTAAAATTTGTTATGTTTCATTATCCCTGAAAAGCCCCATAAGGGGAGAGGATAATTAAGTTTATTACTATTATTATTATTATTATTATTATCATTACTATTAATATTATCCATTTGGGGGGAGTAGCAGTGTTTCATGCTAGAGAAACCAGGTTAATGTGGATCTCATTGGCTTGTGTGAGCTTTTGTATTACTGATCAGCTTGGTGGTCACCCTTAACAGACCTCTAATTTTTTGTTTTAGGTGGTTTAAAGATTACAGTGAGTTGGATTATGCCAGATCAGGCAATGAAGCTACAAGTGATGTAACAGTAGATGCAGGTACTTTCTATGGTTTTTGATTTTTTTTTCATTGTGGTAGCTGAAAAACTGAGTTGGGAGAAGTGTATTTTGTGGAGAGCTTGATATGACCTATCAGATACATGGAGTTTTAAAGTGAATTTGTTAAACAGCCAAGCAGTGGTTTGCTTATTTTAAAAAAATATGCATGATCTACATTGTAGAATTATCTGGCACCAACATCTTGCAGATAATTCACATACCTCTAATTTTAAAGCACCTGGCAAACCCAGAAACAATCAATTTTGGAAGGAAAAGAAATCTACAGGAGGGCTCGTAACTAAGTAGAGGGGGGCTATGGCATTTGTTTTTTTTTGGGGGGGACATGAGTATTTTGGGTTAGCTTTTATGGGGGGCTATCTAAAATTTCTGTCAATGTGACTGAAGGTATAAGGGGGTGAGGGGCATTAAAAGCATTTCAATAAAAACTGTCATTGTATTCCTCTCTCCTCCACGGGGATCTCTGTGTCACTAGAAGGCTGAGAAGAGGGGTGAAAGGGAGGGTGTAGGGGACAATGATGACAAACAGGGAGTTGCCTTTTGCTCTTCCCATCATCCCCATGCACATTCTTATTATTAAAAAACAATAATAATAAAATAAATTTATTAATGGAAAAAAAATGCTAGCCGGAGCCTCTGCAGAGGAGATAGTCCGTGTTTTGAAGACTTTATAATCCTGTCGGTGGTAAAGTTAGACGGTGCTTTTTATATGAGTTTGATGAATTTAAGTTTTTCAATCCAAATAAATAAAAGTTAGTGGGTTTTTTTGCATATTCAACAACTGTCATATTTTGGTTAAATTTTTTAGGTGGGGGTGGTGGTAGAGGAGGGGCTTATAGTTGTGGGATATGGAATGAGGGGAAGCAAATTATAGGAGGGAGTCCAAAAATTGCACAGGAAAGAAAACTAAAATCACCATACCCCCCCTCTACATAAATGATGAACTCTCCCTACCATCAGAAAGGTCAGAAAAATTTCCGAGCTCCAGATGAGATTCTAACTCATATTCTCATACCCTCAATGCGGGAGAAGCCATGTTCAGCTCACATTAAGGGATCATTTCCCGAGTGACAGACCAAGAAAATTAATACATGTAAGTGTGGCAGTTAATTTTTTATCTCAGGTAATTTTTACTTTTCTTTTTTTTTTGGATATAGTAATGTGTAATGTATGCTAATGAAGTTGAAACAAAGGAAAAATAAAAATTACCTGAGATTAACTACAACATAAGCATTAGTTTATGGTGGGGATGGCATCTTGTGTTATCAGGTTGTGGGTAGCTGTGGCAGTTGTGGTTGCAGTTAGTTGTGGTACAAGACTTTTAGACCTGTGGCCCATTGACAAGGGTTATACTTCAAGAACTACGACTGTAATATGAAAATGGAATGTGTATTGTTTGTTTTGTTGCAATGTCTAGGTCCTTTGGATCAGTTTCAGCACTCAATGGAGCCACAACTAAGACAACTGGGACTTGATACAACTTTGAAGAAAGGTACATGTAACTTTAGTGTTCTTGTCAAAATACTTATTTCATTGCCTTAAAGGTGGCAGCTTGGACCAGTACAGTTATCTGTAAGCTAAAAGCAGTCATTCAATCATGTACTTTCTAACTGTGATAGTTTTTTAATTTAGGGAAAAATGCCTCTTATACACTCATGTGTATTTCAGATTTAACAACACTTTTTGTTTTACAGGAATCATAACGCTACAAACAGATTTTCAAATCTGCAAAGAAGGTGATACATTGACTCCAGAACAGGCCAGACTTCTGGTAAGGATATTGATTAAAATGCAACTTTTCATTATATCCTTACTTGATATTTGGTTAAGCAAGTGACAGATTTACAATCAGGAGTTTAATTTAATTAATTTAATTTAATTTTGTTTCTGGCAAGATACATGTATTTGCATTTTGAGTGTGAGATTCATGTTAAATTGAATAATTTCTTCCTAACGTATTTTGTGTGGGAAGTGTTTGAAAAGGGGTATCGTCACCCTGTTGCCATAGTGACAGCTCATAACACTGAATACATATTCTTATTTATACACCAAACATAACAGAATGGATAAGCAAGCTATATCAAACAGTTGCCAGGGTCTTTTTTACCTCTGCTTCCAAATGCTCACATGTATTTGCAGTTCATTCTGGGCCTTCCTCACTCCTTACTTCTAAGTAATTTATCATTTAGCCTGTCTCCCAACCTCCCCAGCCTGGGGTCATGGAAGCAGGTATAGTGAAAAGAAAAAACAGTCACACATACAACTGGTTGAAGTACCCGCTTCCCTTAGTCGAGTGATGAGAAGCGACGACCGAAAATACGTGACCTGCATTTGCACGCTTCCCTCTCCTTGGGACAGGAATTTTAGGGGAGGCATTAAAAGGTTTTACAAATTAATAACAACATTTAGAAACTTGAATTAATTCGCTTTTAATTCTTAGTTGATAATATTATAATAGCTACAGACCTATGCATTAACCTGTTGATTACTTTGCTTAATAATATATAATGCTATTACAATGGCTTGAATTCAATTTTTTTGTCAATTACGCGAAACAAAAGTCTCTGAAAACACTTTATAAAACTATCTTTATGTATCATTTCTTTGTTATACACATAAGCTGTAGTTTGCCTCTAAGTCATATATCTATACTACCAGTGGTATCTATACTACCAATGGAAAAACATGAATCTCTTAACCAAATAATTTGTGTGGACACAAATTAAATTTGAAACTTGCACATCTCCCATGCAACTGAACGCACATGCACAAGTTTTGCGGCATTCAGCCTTTCTTTTAATATTAGAAGATCGTTTTTTTGAAGCAGTTCAGTCTCATTGCTGATTATATAATGGCTGAAAAGGGTTGTTACCACCTCATGTGTTGTATTTTTTATTCAAACAGAAACTCTTTGGAAACCCAATGGCCGAATTCCACATTTCTCTTTTGTGCATGTGGTCCAATGATGGAACATTTGAAGACCTTACTTGACTATTCTAATTTTAAATTTCTGCATACAAAAGCCATTTGTTTTATAAACAACTTTGTACAATATTCATACAAATAAAAGACGGCAGAAAATTCGCCTTATTTCCGAACTAAACACACTGCCTTTTTTTCTCTTTGCTGTCCGTGACTGGCATCAGTCTGTGGGAGGACAAAACTAATTCCTTATGTTGGTGTTTTAAAAACTAAAAACCGCTTCTGTTTTAAAGAACAGTTTATTGTGTGGGCCTTGGTATTTTTAACCAACTTTTGATTTTTTATGTAAAACCGGAAGTGCGTTAATTGTATACCAAGAATGCCATTTAAATTTATACTATAAACCTTTCACGATTCGTAATAAATATGTCTCAATGAAATCTTACATGTGTAAACTACGTGTAGGTTCTTTTATCACTCAATACTCTCTATTACCTTTATGTAATGTATGTGGTAATAAAAAAGGTTTGTTTGGTAACTTAAACCAAGGAAACAGAAGCGTTTAACCTCTATATGTGGAACGGAGAGTGCTTCACAGATGTGATTTTCAGTTATTTTTTGCGGGCGACAAGAGGAGCCCGCAATCCTAATCTCCAGGTTGTTGTTACGCATGCGTCGCATCTATGTAGCCAACATTCGTTTGGACTTCCACTAAGAATGAATGGATGCATAGAACACAATTTGATCACGCGCGTTTGGACCTTCTATCACTCGTAATTTGATCACGCGTAGTTTGACCATCCGTAACGTGAAACTACGCAAAGCACATCGTTGGAGCAAAAGCGTTTTGACCTTCCATCGTTTTCGGCCGCACTCCGTAACCTTTGGTTATTACTAGTTTTAGCCATAATCAATAGTCTCGTATTGGAGGAGTGTCTAGGGGATTTCTTTATGAAATATAACATGTAGTCGCACAACCTTACCAGGTCAATGATTATACCTTTCACCGAATTGTTTTCTTGTCTAAACCATTTGGTTCATTCATGGATTAGCATTTTAAATATTTAAAGAGATAACCTATTTTCGCTACATCTTATTCTAGGTTATATGATAATTATTTCAAGGTAACTTAAAGAGCCTAGACTACGAGTAGTCCCCATTTTTCCTCAGGGATAGTAGAGCGAACGAAATGCGAGTGCGCGTGAAAATCACCCCACGCGAGAAAGGCGAGAGGCGGCGGTGAGGCATTCGCGGCCGCTTTTTCTCGTTGGCCAACCCAAGTAAATATCAAAACGCTTTGAACCTGGCTTTTCTTCAGCATCAGAGAACATTGATTGTCTTATCTATTAAAAGCAGCAATCAACTTTAAAAGTCGTCCCTTTCCCATTGTCTCCCCTTTCTCATCCGCCTGTTCTCCCCCCTGGGCGTGGTCAGCTGTACTCTCTCCCCTTTTGCCCTCAATCTGATATTGAGCCGCTCTGTTATCAGCCACCTGAGCTTTCTGCTGTCGTCCTGTTGGCTTTGGTCCAATAACTGTACGCTGGCCTTTCTTGCTGGCCTCTTCCAACTCTTTTCTTATTTGACTTGGCGACTTGTAAGTGTTTTCCTCCTCTACATCGGCGAACTCTACTGGAACCAGTGGCTTTGGCGGCCTTTTAGGTTTTGCCTTCGTTTTCTCCTCCCCAAGGCTTGATGTTTCGTCCTCATTCAATGTCTTTTCTACTTTTCTTGGCGAAGTCAAACCATCTCCGCCCTTCGTGTTGGCGAATTGTACAGGGACGCCAGGCCTCGGCGGACGAACTGGTTTAACTTTTACTTCATCAGCAGCTCTAGGCTTTTTACCTGACGGTGCTTGAATTACTTCATCTTGTAACCTTTTCTTTATTTTACTTGGTAATGTAGAAATCTCCTCTTCATCAACGTTGGTAAATGTTTGGAGAATCGCGGGCTCAGGTGGTTTTTTCGGTTTCTTCTTTCCACCATCAGACGGACTTATGTCTTTTTCCAATGGCGTTTCGACGATTTCGTCGTCAACCATGATCATAACACTGTAAGGTTTTCCTTCCAATTTCTTGTTGTTTTTACTTTCATTACCTTCGTTCAAATTATTTTCTCGTCGAGGAAACAAAAGGGGTGTCAATTTATCTTTCATCTTTCTTGGTGGAGGAGTTGGTTCAATTGATTTGTGTGATTCGGCGTCACCATAAGCTGTAGTTGGTAGGTCATTTGCCTGGAATTGTCCAAATTCATTTCTGCCTTCTTGTGGCAATTGCTCGTTGTCAGTAATTCGTCCATGGTCGTCGGAGACCCGAAGCGAATCACCGCTTGTCCTATGTGTCACGTGATCGGTATCGACGATGTTAGTTTGTTCACTGGTTTCATGATCAACCGTTCTCAGTTTTTCTGTTCCTTGAAAGTCAAGGGGTAAACTATCTGTGCTATCATCGAAGTCAATCCGGACGTCATCAACTTCGTCCGTACGAAGGACCCTTTTGCTTCTGTGTTGAGTGTCTCTCATAAGCTGTTCAAAAGGGTCAAGCGGTCGAGAGTCGGTAGCGTTTAAAGGATCAAAGGTAACGAGTAGCATTTGTTCCGGAAAAACAGGGGATCCGGCTGATTGAAATGTGAGGTCTGTGACGTTTGTAATCGAGGAGGAATTACTTGAAGGCAATGTGTTGAACGGGAACATATCCTCCGGTGGTGGCTCGATCAACAATGGCTGCTGACCGGACTCTTCTTCCGTTTTAACATGGACAGCATTCTGTTCTCTCTCATTTGTAGATAGAAGATGGAAGATATTTTCCGGAAGATCTCCATCTGTAGAAGAGCGGGTTTCGTAGGTGTTCTGCTGTTCTGGTGTATCCTGTTTTCCTGTATCAGGGATAATTTCTTCTCTGTCTGAAAAAAGCATTTTGTTTGATTGTCCTTCAGTCAACAGTGACTGGTCATAATTGCTCTGGGGTGGCTCTGAGTCTACCTCTGTTCTCTCATTGGGAAGATACTCGGTGGGTTCAGCAAATACTGGCCGTTGGTAATTCGCTGTCTGGACCTGAACCGACCTACTTACCCTGTCCTCTTCTCTGTTTGGCGTAGTTGTTTTGCCGACTGACTGTGACGACTCGTCCAAGAAAAGTGATTGTCGATCATCCACATTTGGTTCAAGAATTTTCTCCAGGCTCTGGCCAAGATAATGTACGTCCTCGCTTCGTGAATTTGACTGCGTCTCAACAACTTTTTGCTGCTTGCTCTCTTGCTTCGGTGAGAATTCCTTGTCATCGATTGATTCTTCTGGTGTCGTAACTGGCGTGTTCAGAGACTTTGCATTGGCCGTTGTCGTCACAGGAACACCAGACAAGCTCTCATTATCTGAAAACACCGGAGTACCATTCCCCTCTGCTATTGGAGTGCTAGTCTCTGAGGGCACAGGCGTGGCATTCTCTGAGGGGAGTGGTGTACCTGTTTCTGAAGCCAGCGGAGTAGCAGTTTCGGAACGCACAGCCATTGGTAAATCAGTACTTGATTCTATAGGACCAGATGCTGAAAGGAGATTTTCATCTGCGATTCTTTCGTCTAGGTAATCCAACATAGACTGTGTTGATCTGAGAGAATCAACAGAGCTGTCACGACTTGTGTTCGGTCGCTGTCTGGACCTGAACCGACTGGGCCTCCCGTGATCCGTTAGGACGAAATCTGCGCTTCTTCTTCGCAATTCTCGAGGGACAGGTCGAGTTCGGTGAACCTTAGCTTCGTGCTTCTTTATATCTTTTAGAAGCTCATTTTCGAGGTCCGTTACTTTGACCTGAGCGGTGCTAAGTTTGTCTGACCAATCGCGAATTAGTTTCTCTGCTGCAATTGGGTTGGATTCGACTTCCGACACACGGACAACAGGAACGTTTGGTTCGGAATTTGCCCTGCCCTTTTCTTTAAGCGTCGCCTCTAACTTTACTATCTTTGCTTTGACGTCAGCCAATTCCTTCGCGAGTCTATCGTTTTCATTGATAAGTTTTTTATTTGCAGACTCGGTTTCCCTAACTTTCCTTCCAGTCTTTTCAGCTTCATTCTCCATGTCCTCTATCTGTTCCTTTTGCATTTTAAGCTTTGCGTCCTTTCGTGCGAGGTCCTTCTTCATCGACTGCAAACTCCTCTCAGCTGCGTCACGGTTGTAATTGGAATTCATTACACTCTCCTCCTTTTCGGCAAGATTATTTCGAAAGCTATCTGTGATCTGTTTTTGATTTTCCAACATCTTCTCCAACTCGGTATTTTCCTCTTTAGTATATTTCAACTTTCTGTTCACTTCTTCAAGTTCTTCATGTAAATCATCGTTTTCTCTCAGTGCTTCCTCAAGGCGCTGTTCAAGACTTGTCGTCCTACCACGCGTTTCTCTCAGAAGTTCTTCGATTTCATGTATGCTTTCCTCTTGATTCTCTTTCGTCACTTCTAACTCGGAGATAGTTTTCTTAGCCTTTGCTAGCTCTTCCTTCATCTTAACTTTTTCCTCCACGCTCTTATTTTGTAAGTCATCTTTTTCTGTTATGCTTTTCTCAAGCACCTGAAGTTTTCTTAGAACAACGTCATTTTCCCTATCCTTAGTTTCAACTTTTTGTTTTAAAGCCGAACGTCTGTCTCGTTCGTACTCCAGTTCTTTGAGAAGCTCTCTGTTGACATTTTCAAGCTCTTCATTTCCGTCTTCCAATGTTTCGTGACTTAATAACAATTCCCCTAGTTTCTTTTCCACTGTCATGAGCTTTTCTTTGAGCTCATCATTTTCTCTCTCCATTTTCTCAATGTCCTCTCGCGCTGTTGCAAATCTCTGCTGAAGTAGCTGTTCGTTTGAAAGTCCATTGTCCCTGGCCATCTCAAGCTCTGAAACATTTTCCTCTGCAACTCTCAGCTTCCTCTCTAAATTGGTAAGTTTACTCTGGCTTGAATCCAGGTCGTCTTGTGCTCTTTCGAGTTCCTTTTCTGTTTCATTATAATCTCTCTCCAAAGCACGATACTCGTCTTGCCTTGCCTCTAACTGTGTCTCAAGCTTTGCGATTGTTTCTTTGGCTTCGCGGAAAGATTTTTCAGTTTGTAGATTCTTGTCTTCCCCCCTCTCAAACGCCGTTTCTAAGTCTGTTATGCTTTCGTGAGCTGCTGACAGCTGTTGTTCAAGAGCTTTCCTCTCTTCGTTACTTTCCGCTATCAACGTTTCTAGTTCTTTGCTATTGTGA